CCCCCCCCCCCCCCCCCCGCATATTATGCACCCTAGGCTCTATACAAGCTCCTGAGGGTGTCGAGGTTTCCGTTTTTTTGGACCCAAGGCATTATATCGCATGATACCACTTCAGGCGTTTTTGCTAGCGCATGAAGTAGGTAAACTTTGCAACTCTGGCATCGAGGTGTGCGGCGTTGAACTGGCTCAAGGGTTTTGTTCGTTTGTCGTGTGTAATTACACAAGACATGTGCTCAGAGTCTTTGGCTCATGAGTACAGGTGTCTCATCTGCACCCCGAGGTGGCTTCGGTTCGGGCGCTTCAAATCTGAACACGTTCCACCATCCTTTTCTGATTCCTGTACGATCGTGATAATCATCGACTTGTGATGGGGTAGAAAAGGTTCAGATACAACTACCTAATCACGCAACTTCGACGGTGAGCCTATCCTCTAGTAGTTCACACAACAGCTTAAGCAATCCCCTCTCGACATCTTTCTGAGTCTTTCTGCGATGGGCTTGCAGGAATGAGCGTTTGTCTGGACCCAGCTTTGTTGTACCAAACCCCATAAATCCCCCGAGTCCCATAAGCTCTAAACCATAACACTCAACCCTAAGCCCTAAACCCNNAACCCCAAAACCCTGAACCCCAAAACACTAAATCCTCAACCCCAAAACGTACAAGCCCTACAAACCCTTAACGGAGCCAAAGCCCGAAGAATAACAAACCCTAAACCCTAGTCACCCTAGTCCCCAAACCCCCAAACGTTTAGGGTTTAGCGTTAAGGGGTTTAGGGGTTCAGGGTTTAGGGTTCAGGGTTTAGAGGTTTAGGGTTTAAGGGATTTAAGGCGTTTAGGGGTTTCGGGTGTAGGGTTTTAGCGTTTAGGCTTTAAGGGTTTTGGGTTCAGGGTTTAGGGCTCTAAACCTTAAACTTTAGTATCCTTGAACCTCAGGAAAGCCCGAACTTAACCCTAAACCTCAGGGAGGAAGCTCCACACATCGTGTTGGTGGACTTCGGCATCTCGGAGATTGTAGAGGACGGGTCTCTAACATCCTCTCATATTCGGCAGAGGGTTAGGGTTTAGGGACGGCATGGGGTTGTTTCTAGGCTTCTGTATCGGCTAAAATTGCACATAGGATATACTTTAACCCCAAATACCCTACCTTTTTAAGGAATTATATGAAGAAATCATAAGAAGGATCCCTAAACTGGCAGGTTGTATAGGGCCCCGGGTTTGAGGGTGCGCGTGGCTCTGGGTTTGGCCGCCCAGTTGCGCCATGTGAAGCGGGAGTGGTAGGGTGTGAGGTTCGGAGTTGCAGATTTTAGAGTTACAGTTTTTTTTTTTTTATTGGGTTTGGGGATGTATAAGGAATCTATAATAAGGATCCCTAAAAAAGATAGGTTTTATAGGGTCCAGATAGAGTTACAAGTTTTATAGGGCTTGGGGCTGCGAGCTTGGAGTTTAGAGTTTAGGTTTCCGGGTTCAGCAAGCTTTTGGGTTTCAGGGTTCAGGCGCAAATTGCGGCGTTTAGGGTCCGTCTTGCAGGGTTTGGTGTCCTGATGACACAGACTAGTTTAGGGTTTAGGGTTTATACCTCGAGCCACCATTAACCACCATTTGTGTGTTCCTATGTTTCGCTGCTGCCGTTTGTGCTAGTATGAGGTCGGTCCACATTCACCCTCGTATCGACTCTCAGATAAAGTCGCGAACAGCCGTAATTGTTTGTTTCCTGAAAGGTCTTATGGCCTAGTACCAATCCTATGCTCTCAATCAGCTGTGCTAACCTTACGCCTACTATCTTAACCTCGGCATACCTAGTTACTTTAAAAGATCATGGGACTTAGTAACTAGGGTTATTATTAGGGTAACTATACTTATAGCTACTTATAACCCCAATTAAGGTACTTATAACCCATACTTACTAAGTCCCATGATCCTCCAAGTATGAGGTGCTTCGGACCCTCAAACTTAGGGTTTAAGGTTTAGGGTTTAGGGGATGTCTGCATCACCCTTGCGCTGCAAAGCATACGACATACGAGACCACGTACAGGCTTATGATGCTCCGCCTCCACTGCTTTGTAGGACCTTCCTTCCACCTTGGATGTTCCCTCCGGAGAACGCGTCAAGTTTTTTTGTTGCTCTTCTCCGTTTGTTTCACTACGTTAAGCATGCAGGACCTTACCAAAGACCCTGCGACACTGACAGCTAAGGCATTTCTAGTATACTTTCGAAGGGGGCCATGACGGGACACTACGTACACCAGTCGTTCCCTGAATTAGGGTGTGTTTTGGGGCCCTAATATGGTACGGCACCCTTAAACAGGACCCCCAAAAAGGGACCTGCATGTAGAGAACTACCCAAATACCCTAAACCCTAAACCCTGAACTGTATTAGTTAGTTCTTTCAACCTGACAGGCTCGGCACCTCGCGGGTCCCTTGAAGGCCAGTTTTGTTGAGTGTGAGTGGTCGGTTTTGGGGTTTAGGGTTTGGGGTGGTGAGGAAAGGGGAGGGTCTTTGGAGGTTTAGGGTTTGGGGTTTAGGGTTTGATGACTTTGAGTCTGTTTCTGTGGTGTGGCAAGAAGTGTCGAAGCATCCGAATGGGGGGAGGCTTAATGCTACAAGCTTAAAAATTACTTATATTTCAGATACATTGTCCTTGTTACAATAATGCTATACAGGAGCCCAAAAAGCCTATTCTAATTATCAAGGCCCCTACATTACAGAAACTTTGCGGGGTGCTGCGAGCCCTGAGCCTGATATGAAACGCCTTAGGAGCACACCCCTAGGTCCGACCTCCCCAAAGCTATAAGGGTTTAGGGTTTTAGGGTTTAGGGTTTAGGGTTTAGTAATACCGTTTTCAAACATATGCCCGAAATCCTAAATCCTAAACCCTAAACCGTGTTCCTCAAGCACTCGGTCTCTGCATTTGGGTGCTGCTCAGAACTGGACTTGTGAGTTTGTGTCTTGGTTGTGTTAGGGGTAGGAGTGGTTTAGCGTTTAAAGAGGATTAAGTGTTCAATTTGGGATTAGGGTTTAGGGTTTAGGGTTTAGGGTTGGGGTGGTCCACCAACACATCGAACACGAGTAGAGAGTTTCCGAAAATAGGGCACCCTAATATAGCACCCTGTTTGTAGGATCCCTATTGTAAGGACCCCCAAATAAGGTACCCCCTATTTTCTTAAACTCCCAGTAGTACAAGGAAGGGCCTTGACCGTATCAGAAGTGACAAGATCGCGGGCGGTAGCAATGGAACGAGTAGTCCCCAGCATCCTCGGTTCAGGGCTAAGGATGCGTATAAGGTGTCCTTGGGCCAAGTGGGAATGTCCCTAAATCCTATAAAACGTGAACCCTTAAAAGGCAGGGACGTCCGCAGGTCCGTGGCACGCCGATGTACCTCTCACCCGAAGGCTTTGAGGCCCGCTGCTGGGGATGACTCTTTTGGCGGGGAATAGGGTTTCGGGTCTAGGGTTTAGAGTTTAGGGTTTAGGTTCATGCTTGGAACAGGGTTTCCGATTTTCGGAGATAGATTGTTCTATAGTTATAACCAGGAGCCCCAATAGTAGTATTGCAGTATTGGGAATTTGTTCGTAGGCCCCTACACCTAAACCTGATATTCCCTAACCGCTACACCCTAAACCCTAAATATAACCCCCTAAACGCTAAACCACTACACCCTAAACCCCAAAACCCTAAACCCTAAACCCTAAAGCCCTAAACCCTAAAACCCTAAATTTAAGCCCATGGCCTGAAACCCCAATGTGCGGCTGGCAGAGGCCGAGAACATGAAGCCCTCGCCCCAATGCTTTGAAGGAGTTCATACCCCTGGCGCTCCAAATAGCCCAAAGTAGGTACTAGACCACACGCACTCGTAGTTTAAGACGAACCCCAACCTTTTGTAACAGTCGCAACTTTCGGGTCAAAGGAGTTTGAGAGTTCGAGATGACTCAGTGTCATTGGTGCGGTGTGGATCCCTGTGTCGAGCCTCGCATTATATCGGGTTCCTACAGCTGTGCAGTGTGCAGAGAGTTGGATCGGCTTCGGGGATCTGCACTTTGATACCAGCTGAGCATCATAGCAAGGTAGTCTCGGAACTCAGGCTCCTTAGCAGTAGGTTGCGCGAGTGGCAGAAGAACCGCTTCGGAGGTCCACACCTGGGTTACATTGAGCCTCCCTCTCAGCCCGAGTTGAGCCTTGCCCAAAGCATTAAGGTCGCCAAGGCCTCGTCCTCAAAGCCGCCTGAACCAAGTGGACCTCCTCCAAATCACTTTAGGGTAGATTCGAGCCATAGCGAGAACCCTGAACGTGCCGATAGACCAGCTGCTAAAAAACGCAAGAAGAAGAATCGCGGACAGAGCCGAGCGCAGTGGCAGAAAGCTCGTGGGACTTTGGTGCGATCCCGATTGACTCCGCTGGATCAGTCTGGCAGCGAGCTCTCCAGTGGCTCAAATCTCAGCTGAATCTTGACAGCAGTGATTCTTATTTATGGGAAGTAGGGTTCTCAGAAGACCTGGTATTTTGAAGAGGAGGAAACCAGACTCAAGCGGTAAGCGACGTCTTTTTGGTAAGGGTCGGGACTTCGATTACCAGGGCCGTCTTAGCAAAGGGGAATCGTTATCCATTCCGAGTTTGCCTTTGAGTTTCTGGAGTCCCGGATCCGACTATTGTATTCTGGGGGATTATTGGGGCAGACAAACTCTGGCGTGTGGGCAGCTGGAGCGTATCACTATTGATCAGTCCGGTACCTTCCTGCATTTGGTTGTGAAAGGTTCTGATAACCAAGAGTTGGTCAAATGGTGTGGCACAGCAATCAGAGGAGGGGAAGTCGGAGAGCTACTCGTTCACCTCTGCCCCGTAGGTTGCCGGAAGGGCAATATGAGTCAGGACCTTCTTCACGGAAGCATGTTAGTGACCTTAGATCCCGAAGCCCTTTGGAGCCGCAACGTCGCGGAACTAAGAGTTTCCTCCCCAGCAATGAGAGGGGGGTTGCACGAGGAACTCGAGCACCTGGCAGGGGTGAGAGCGGAAGGCCACCAGGAAGAGAGAGGAGCCCCATCGCCCGCCCCCGGCGATGCCCAGAAGGATCGAAAGACAGGGGACAAATCGTTCCGCGACACTCCCTTGGATCCGCGCGTCAGCCTGAAGAAGGTTTTGAGGCGAGGGAGGAAAAAGAAGCAAACAAGGAAGCGAAGGGGAAGGAGCAGGAGGAAAACAGAGAGAGACGAAAACAGCAGCAACAGCAGCAGCAGCGAGAGCGACAGCAGCAGGAGCAGAAGCATAGACTCCCAGGACAGTGGCCATCCATTTCGAGAGGGGCATCGCGTGCACAGGATATCAAAGAAGATTCCAGGTGCTTTGACTCGCCACGCTCTGGAGGAGATAAGCCGCTTGTTGGTAGAAGCTCTAGGCGACGAGAAAGGAGAGCAGGTGAGAGCCCTTTTCCTGAAGTATTGTCGCCTTCATCTCTTCACAAAGAACATCTCACCAGGACAGAAGCGAGAGGTATTGACCTTGGTTCACGGGCTAGACCGCTTAGTTCAAAGGGATCTTCTGGGTTGCGCGGATCTCTTGGTACAGAGGCTGAAGGCCATCGAACTCGTGCTGAATGGAGCGTCATGGCAGGTAGCACAGAATATCGAGCTCGTTCCCCTAGACCAAGAAAGGATCAGCAGCGTAGCCGAAGCGCAAGAGGCCGCGAAAGCATTCAAGAACGACTTCAAAGTTCAGCGGGACCTAGGAAAAGGTTTCAAGGGATGGACTCCGAAAGGAGGAGAGAAAGGAAAGACGACCAAGGGGAAAGATGGAGGAAAGGGAGGCAAAGGCAAGGAGGGAGGAGCCCTCCGGACAGAACCGATGCGCCCCCAGTGAACCATCCTGACTCCGGCTCTCCTCTTCCTAGGAGGGTAGGGGTTGGGGGTTCTGTCGCCGGCTCTCGAGGAAGGGCTTCGCAGTGCTGCGACGGCGATTCGGGGGCGAAGAGCCCTGATCACAATCTTGGCCGACAGTCGTTGAGTCTTGCAGTTGGTTTCACTTCGGAT